AGAGGGGATACTATATTTCAATAATATCAAAAAATAATTAAAAATATATCGCATGAATGCTTACAGTTTAACTTTGAAAATGGTCAATTCTGCCATAGAGTCCCATGTGTTTGGAAAATAAAATTAAATAATTGAAAATGTTTTATGCCTATCATATGTGCAATTTAATCCTAATATGAATAACACAAAAAATTATTTTTATATATTAACATTTACAGGTTTTCCAAATTGTTTTATAAATCTAAAAAGTGCATTATTTTCCATTTTTATTGATTTTAAAAACTCTTAATAAACCCCTAAAACTTAATATTTTTAAAAAATTTTTTTAATACATATTAGAATTTATTAGGGCTTATGATAGGTGCAAAAGATTTTAAAATATTTTATCTTATTTTCCAAACACATGGGACTCTATGGCAGAATTGACCATTTTCAAAGTTAAACTGTAAGCATTCATGCGATATATTTTTAATTATTTTTTGATATTATAGAAAAATAGTATCCCCTCTACCATACCCTTACTCCATATCATTGTAACATAAGTAATCATTGCGCTGACTATGGGTCCAGCATATCATCCAATATTACAGAATATTCTTGATGTCATACAGAATATTCTTGTATATTCATGGCTACCTCATAATGAACTTTAAATGTGCCAGAGTATAGATTTTAGCTACAATTAATAAGCGAGCTATTAAACAAATAATCGTTGCAGATTCACTTGACTGACTTTATACAATTGTAAAATTATCGGAGTTATTGTATCTACTACACTTTTAAAATACGAATTCACATTATTATTCTGCTTGAATTATCGTGTTTTGATTAAATCATATGGAAATGCTTACGAATACATATCATCGCATACTTATGGGTTTTGGCACAAATATGTGCTGAATGTTAACATGACTTATATTGACTGCAATTATGGGCCCACTTATCAACAAATGCCAAAACCGGACAATACTTTCATTTTGAAAAACTACTGATAATTCGGTAAAATACTTGATTTTGTATAATATATTAATTTTTATAATAAATAATTAAAACATGATAACTGAATAAAAATATACCTAATGTTGAGATAAAGTGTTTTAAATTTTAACGAAATAACACACATTTTAAGGTATTTCTTCCACTGATATTAGTTCACAAGTACTACTATATTATATTACTATAATACACAAGGTCTATTATTTGCATGTTTGTTTATTTATCAATGTTTAATTTTGATTATAAATGATTTTATATTTATAACATAATTTAAACAGACTTAACATTTAGCTTATGTTTTATAAATTAATTTATCTTGTAAAAGATAATTGTAAAATATTTTAAAAATTTAATATTGAGGGTAATGTGAAAAATATATTACATAAACTGTCAATAAAAATAATTTATACCTAATTAAAATATGAATGCTATTTAGGCGTTGCAAAGTAAATAAGTTACTATAAATATAATTAAATTAACTTACTTATATAATACTGTAGCTTAAAATATTATTATTTATTTGATTCTTTTAGTTATGATAACAGGTTCAATTTTGTGAACTTGTTTACATTTATATGTTTTGAGTGGGAACAGGTATAGAAATATATTATGACGTTGATGAAATATAATTTCTATAACTAAAACAAATATACAAATAGTTAAGTAATATATCGTAGAGAGAAATAGTG